CATACTCAGCCATGGTATTAAATACTGTGATCACGATGTGCCTCTATATCTGCGTTCTGTGTAAACATTACTGATTCCATGAGATAGTAGCAGGTATCCCCACAAAACAAGAGTGGCCCCTGTAGTTAAATGACTTTGGCAAACACTGCATACATGTCTTCCCCTCCTGTTTTGGACATTCATGATGCGTGTTAGCATAGTAAAGGCTTGCAGTAAAAACACATGCTTAATTTTGATTATCATGGTGATGCCTGAACTCATTTAACCACAGAGCCCTTATTTCACACAAGTTTTGTAAGTGTTCTAAAGAGCAGAGTTTGAGAAATGCCTCTCATGATTCTGACATCGTCAGTGGTGTCCTTCTCGAAAAGCAGTGCTTAGCACCACAGCTCCAGGATACTGGCAGATGTGGGGTGAAGCCCCAGGGGTGTGTGTGTGTGTGTGTGTGTGACAGGCTCACACTGTGTCTTAATGTGTGTTTCTGAGCTCTGAGTCAGGACACAGGGTGGGGTTGGGGTGGGGGAATCGCCTTCCTGTTCCCTCCTGGAATCCATTCCAGTACTTCTGCGGAAGGTAGAAGAGACTCCAATATGGGTTCTGATTGTTTCCTCCTCTCTTCCTTCTTCAAGGCACAGGAAGGAGTGTACGGGAGAAAACATGTCCTTTTCTTCTTTCCCTTGTGCACTACTCAAAATGTATTATCTTTCACATAAATGCCTCCAATAGCAACTAGGTGCTTGAAACCACAGTGTCCCCAACAGGCTGCCACGTGTGGCCGCACAGGTCGCACCCTGCACAACTCTGGGGGTGCCATCCACAGGGACCACAGTTGGTCCCCAAGCCCTCCAGCCTCAGGCACACACCCTTCCTTTGGCATTCTACTAAAGATGGCTAGAGCCCCCGTGCATCTGGCAGAAAGTGACAGAGGCTTCTGTTTTTCCTGGTTGTCCCTCTTTTCCAGTTTCTTCTCAGTCTTACTCCTTATCTCTCCCTCCCACATGAGCCCAAATGTGGAACCCAGACTCTAGGTCTTGATTTCCCCCAAAACTTCATTGGCCCAGGCCTTTTACTGGTAGATTGGGGTAGGAGATGGGGAGGGGGAATGGGTACAACACAGAAATCCCCAGTAAAAAGCAGGGTCACAGTCCCTCTATAGAGCAAATGCCCTCCCTCAGGCTATGACCCTCCCTCCCCCAACCGGGTTGTTCAGCTCTTCTCCTCCTGGTTCTTCGTCCCCCTTCCCACCTCTCCTGGCTGCCTTAGAAACTCATTCCTTTCCTTATTAGGCAGAGTCATAGGATTCTCTGTTTCCTTCCCCTGCTTCTATTTGCATATTCAAAAACTCATTAAGACACTATACAAAAGAAACGACCCACTACCCTGCTCCAAGGCAATCTTTTCTTCAGCAGTTCAAAAAATTGTTTTTAGATAATGGCAAAAGCTTGGAAATCAGTCTTCGTTTTAGTATGAATGTATGTGATGAGTTTCTTACTGATATGAATTCTGTCATATTCACCGGCCGGCCTTCCATATCTGTGCGTTCCGCAGCCGTGGATTGAAAATATGCAGGGAAAAAATTTCGTCTGTACTGGACATGTACAGACTTTTTTTCTTGTCATTATTCCCTGAACGATATAGTATGACCATTATTTACATTGTATTAGGTATTATTAGTAATCTAGAGACAATTTAAAGTATACAGGAGGATGTGCGCAGGTTATATGAAGAGCCTACACCATTTCATATCAGAGACTAGCATCCGTGGATTTTGATATCTGTGGGGGGGGGGTCCTGGAACCAATCCCCCATGGATACTAAGGGATCACTGGATAGTTGATTTCTGTTTGTATTTATTTGTTGTAAACAGCAATTTCTTTTTCTTGCTGTATACAGGTTGACGGTAGAAGTCATTACAACTGGGGTGACCATATATCCTCATTTGCACAAAACAGTTTCATTTTAGACCTGCCGCTCCAGCTTAATTACTAATAGCACCCCTTTCACTCTCCAAAAATGCCTTGGTTCAGATGATAATCTAAATAAAATGGTCACCCTAATCGAAGCAGTCCGTATGGCTGTTCCTGGGTCTTCAATCATCAGGCAGAGCCCAGGAATTTTTTCCTTCACAATCTCGTGCCTAGAACACACTTACCAATAGTTGAAGACGTAAAACAGCTTTCAGGAATTTTCATGACTGCCAACCATCAGCAGGGAAGAAGATATCCAGAAGAACAAAGGGAAACATACAATTTGTGCAGGAGAATGGCAAGGAGCTTACACAACTCTTCCGGTAGCGCACACAGGGACTGGGTGGCCGCTTGTCAGTCT